TCATCCTCGTAGCCCTCCGCTGGACTCTCTCCAGTAGCTCTTCATCTTTCTTGAACTGGGGAGCCCAGAACTGGACACAGTACTCTAGATGAGGCCTCACTAGGGCAGGACAAGACAACCAAAGCAAGGAGCTAACTGTTCTGAATAGTGAATGTTATACTGAAATTGTTCAGCGTTTCCAAAGTTGTTCTGTTGTCCTGGAGAAATGAGGCTGTGGGCATTAGTCCAATCCTCTGCTATGTCTGAATGTATTGAAAGGGCTCAGTGAAGTTTCACAGGGCGTTAGAAGCCCTAGGGTTATTCAGTTCCTGTAAGTTTCCTGAAAAGATGTGTCTGCATGGAAGAAGGAGATCCGAATGAGCGTCCCCACGGAAGGAAAGGCAGCCCAAGCCAAGCTCTGCGATGAGGCGTTACGCAACACCCAAACACGAGAAAAGCCTCGATAAGTGCACATCCCTTTTCAGACATGGAGTCATCCAGCTCTGAGACAGTCGCAGGCATCTCTTAGACTCAGCAAATTTTTTTTTTTTCAGATATTAATTGATACTGCTGCTGCTAATAAGCAAGCTGCATGGCCTGAACTTTGGCCAGGCTGGTGGCTGGAACAGTCGGTTGTGTTTTGTCAGATGCTGGTGTCCAGCTTTGGTTTCCCTGCTGGAAAACCCTCCCTTTAGGCTGCTGAGAGTGATTCCTGGCTGAGATGCCCATGAGCTTTTGAACGGAAGGGATTAAAATTATTAACCTTGTTCATTAATTGCAGCCAGTTTGGCTAACCATATTTATTTTTCAAGGCATAGATAGGAGGAATTTGAGAGCTGAATAACAGCATAAATGGAATATTTTGGGTTACAGGCCCCAGCTGACCGAAGTGGCAAGGACCGAACAGTGTCCTCAACAGGGAATGAGCCGGTGGTGTTGGCACACGTTCGTCGGCAGTCAGGGCTTGTTGACAGCCACGCTGACTGATAAAAAATGTGTGAAGGAGGAAAGGGAGTGGTTACTCTGACTTTATATGTGTTTGTCCTAGGCAATCATCAAATATTTGCAAGATCAAGGAGTCCTTATTCTCCTCACGTCCTCTGCCTTGGCGCGAGACGATGGTAAGACATGGCTACATAGAAACCAAGATCTGTGCTTAAACATCCTGCTCTGTTTTAGAGACGGAGGGTGGACACCCTCCATCTAAACAAAACGTGTTGCTTTCTTTCGTAGGTTTTGACCCTAAGGAGCCCGTCAGCCTCCTGGCCCTGTTTCTGTTCACCTCGTCCCGGTCGGTGTGCCTGAGAGGTAGGGAGGTTCCCTCTGCTGGCTTCACACACTGGTTTGGGTGCAGGATCCTCACCAGAGGGTTCTTACAGATACATTGCTCTTGAAAAGCTGATTTCTCTGCTCAGAACCACCTACAGCTTTAGCGCAAAGGGTGTTAAAAGAGGAGAGAAATGTCCCAACTCTCTAGCTGTGCTGCAATTTAAGCTGATCTAAACCAGGTTCCCTGGCTTGCCCATTCACTGCACATCCTCGCCCCTTTGCAGGAAGATGGTGGGAGTGAAAAATAATTATTTTTCTCCCTCTCAGGCCATTTGCAGCAACATCCGCTGCCTAAACTGTCTTATGTGTGCACATGGGAGTCTGACTCCTGCAGAGCCTGGCTTACATCCCTAAAGGTGCTCAGGAGCTGTGCTCAGGGGGCAAAACAACACATTGCACACACTGGACCCTGATGTGATTTGCTAAACTAGCAGGAAAACGGCCTGCCCTAAAAAATGTGAATTGTTTTTTGCTGAGTTAACAAGTAAAATGGGCTTTGTGAAAGGTCACTGCTGGCGTGGGCCGGGGAAGGAGAGGTGAGGAAGGGGCATTGCTCCCTAAAGAGCCAGCGAAAGTTTTTGGAGGCTCAACCCTGTTGTGCGAGTTCTCTGTTGTGGGATCTGTAAATGCTGGTAGCGGGGCCGTGACGACCGGTCCGGGTGTGGGACGGGCGAGGGAGCGAGGCAGGGAGATGGTGTTGGGCAGAGCCACGGTGCTTTGCTGCCAGCAAGGTGAGTCACGGCTCTGGGACCCGGGAGGGGAATCCGGGCTGTTTGCAGCCCCAAAACTTGCTTCTTTTCATGCAGAACAAACACAGAGGCACTAAATAAGAGAAAACAAAGACTGCACAGTTTGAACCTGCAGATCTTGAAATAAGAATGAGCTCCAACCTCTGTTGCATGTGCTTCAATTTTTCTCTGTATCTGTTGGCTTTATACTGCACTGTTTACGTGGAAATATTAATACTATAATTTCCTCTTGTGGAGATAAAGAAAGTTACAGCTCTGCCTCCCCTGGACAGCTTCATCCGCGCACCTCTCATGGCATCCACTCCACCAGTAGTACTTCTACCCTGGCAGATCCCCAAGCAACGTTACAGACAGGGGCCTTCTGCTCTGCGTAACTTCTGGCTTGCTTTTTGTTGAGTCATCCTGGGACAAGCCAAGAGGCTGTTTGTGCCAGCGCACGCTGGCGTCTCAGTCCGCCTCTGTGTGAGTGATGGCTGGCGTTGCCGACGGAGCGTGCCCAGCTCCCCTCGCCGGAAGATGAAATCGGCAGAAGGGCCCGCAGGACTTACCAGCACATCCCAGCACGGATTATTTTGTCCTTTTCGGTGTTTAACCTCCAGCTATAAACTTTCTCCTTCAGGATCCACCTGTGAAGTGGGCTTGTAAGTCGGGTGAAGACGTGGTGGTAACTTGGCAGTGTGGGGTGTGAATGTCCTTGATGCCTGAATTCAGTCAGCCTGGCTTTAAGGACATGCTGCTGGTGGCTGTGTTAGCGTGGCATCTGTTGTAGTTTGTTTTCTAGGTGTAGGAGAGAGACAGGCTCTTCTGGAAGCAGAATGAAGATCCAAAGTGCCAGGTCAAACCTGGGGTCAGTACGTTGTTGCTGTGATGCCTGAAATTTGGTGAGGTGAAGGGAGAAAATGCACGGAGACCAGACTGGAGGTGGGAGCTGACCACCCAGGTATTGAGATCCTGCTGACCAGCCTCACAACGGTCAGAAGATGCCCTCCATAGCAGAGGGGTCTGGTCCTGAAAGGCTGACTGCGAGCACTGTGCGCTGGAGGAGAGGGGAACAGGGCAAGGAGGTGTTTGTCTTGAGTGGACTTGTTATGTTTATTCCGTCTGAACATGAGGAAGAACTTCTTCCCTCTGAGGGTGACAGAGCACTGGAACAGGCTGCCCAGGGAGGTTGTGGAGTCTCCTTCTCTGGAGATATTCAGGACCCGCCTGGACAAGGTCTTGTGCAGCCTGCTGTAGGTGACCCTGCTTCGGCAGGAGGGTTGGACTAGATGACCCACAGAGGTCCCTTCCAACCCCTACTATTCTGTGATTCTGTGAAGAAGGTGGTGGAGACAGCAGAGGGCACCAGGCATAAGGAGCGTCCCAGAGCGAAGACGGTGCAAGCAGCTGGTTGGTAGGAAGGTTTGGGGCTGTAGCAGACGTTGCCTGTGGCTGATGTTGATGCTAAAGAGGAGGCAAACCCTGGGCAGCCAGAGAGCTGCTGGCAGCGAAATGCGGAGGCAGGGGGAGAGGGTAACATTAAGCAGACGCTGCTTGTTGTTAACGTGTCGCAATATGAACGCTGGTGGCTGCCAGATGTTTTCCCTCTGGTGCCAGCAGGAATCCTGCATGTGCTGTCCCGTTCTGCCTACGCAAGCAACCTTACCCCAGCCAGCCGTGACTGTCCCCTGGGTCTGAGACCTCTTCTCGCTGGGGTTAGAAACCCTTTTTGCTTTAGGGCTTCTCCTTTCTATGAAGGTAAGCAGAGCTGTGGAGGGACTAGGGGTTGAAAAGAGGCGGTCACTGAAGCAGCAGGGGTGCAGGGGAGATGCGAAGAGAAAAGGGGGTGAAGGATGGACGCATTTGAAGTCGCTCAGCTCAGACTCGAAGCATGAATAATGTTTCCCGTTTCGAAACAAGCAGCCTCTGAAGCTGTTCCCTTCCTGTCCAGACAGCCGTCGGGAGAAATGTAGGGCAGGAGTAACAAGCCCGCTGTGCAGACGTGCCGCAGCGTTCCCGAGCCAGCAGCGGAGGCAAGCAGCTGGGAGCCGGCTCGTGGGGACACCTGGGCTTGCCGGTAACAAGGACCAGCATTGCCAGCGTAAGGCAGCAGCAGGGCCAGTAGATGAAGAAAATCACACCTCTGGGAGGGGAAAAGAAACGGCTTTGCCTTGCTGGGAAGAGATGTGATGAGGAAGGGCACTGGGGTTGTCGGCCTGGCCCTGCAGCCAAAAGAAACCTCGGAGTGGAATCATAACACGCAGACGGGTCAAGCCTGCGGGTGCAAAACATCAGCATCAGACTGCTGGGTTGCACCGAATGAAGCCGGAGAAGCCTGGCTTGTGCGGAAGGGGAGCTCCACTGACAGACTCCGCATATCGCACCAGCTCTCCAGGCGTTTCTGGACATTGAAGGGACACTGCTGTACCAAGCAGAGCCTACTTCCGCGGTGACATCTGCGAAGGCGGGCACCGTCAAGCCCTGGGACTCGTTTGTGTTGGTCTCTGTTGGGAGCTAAACTTCTACGATGCCATGCACTGTGCATGGCAGGGCATGAGACCTGCTGAAATGAGAAACACCAACTGTTTTCAGTAGGATCAGTCCTTCAGCTTTAGAAAATCACCCAGGGGTTCATGTTGTTTGTTTATATGGTCCTCAGGTCTGCTTGGGGGAGTCTGCATTTCCCATCCCATTCCTGAGCACGTGTGGTGTCTTCGTGTGAAGCGCATCCACCCACGCTGACGGCAGGTAGAGATGGAGCTGCTGGAGGTTGCGTCTGAACAGGAACATAAACAGCGCAAGTGGTCTGAAAACAGTGCTAGTCTAAACACCCTGCATGGGCAACCCTGAATTCAAACAGATTTAAAGAAAAACCAACAAAACCCCTGTATTTTCAGAGCTCTGACTGTCCTAAATGTTTGATGTAGCAAGAATTGCTGGAGTGAAGGGACTTAGACCACTATGCGTGCGATCTCACCCTGTAATTTCCTGCAGAACGGGGCTAGCTGATTCAACAGCCGACTTTCATCTTAGTTTAGTCCACTTTTGGCTCCCACGTGCAATTCTCTTTTACCTTCAGCAGTTACAAGCATCCATCAAACCAGGACGTCGCCTCTGGGGCTAGGTTTTTGTAGGTTGGCTTCTGGGGCTGTTTCGTAGCTTTCATGTTCTGTTAGCATGTAACAGTGAGGTGATTTGGGGAACCTAATTCTTTTTTAATATGAGTAAAATTCTATTCCTTTTCATTTCGCAGCTGAAAACCACGATCCAAAAGATAAAAGGGAAGATAGTGACGAGAGTGGCATCTCATTAAAAATAGCTTCAGTTTTGCCTGGACTTCGCTATGCCTTACAGAAAGCCACCAGTTCTTCGTGGGAAGACACGGTTGGTACCAGTGTACGCATCAAACAGCACTTCCAGGAATACGCAAAGCTTGATCAAAATCCACAGCCCACCTCTGGCCAAACCAGTGAAATTCCCCTTTCTTCTCTCCTCTCACCAACTGAGGATGAATGTACTAATCCCTTCAGAAAATGCTCAGAGCAATACTTCTCCCAGCTGCAGCGTTACCTCTCCGATCCCAGCGGCTACACTCTGGAAATGTCGGCTGCCTTAGGATGTTTGTCTGGTGCTGTTCAGTCTCTTTGCTGCCATTCGGAGGCAGATTGTAAAGTGGAATTCTCTTCAGTTGTGCCACACCCTATTCCTCGCAACACAGCAGTGGAAATAAAAGTCACAAGTGAAAACCCAAAGCCCACTGTGGGGCTGGACCAGAGTGGTGAAGGGCCCACAAAAGATCCCGACTCAACCAGCAAGCTATGGGTGCAGCAGAGCAGGAGGAAATCCAGCCGAGCCGTTGTGACCAGCACCAGAAAGAAGTGGTCACCCCTCAAGATGCAAATGCATCCTACAGGGGACAGCAGCAGGAACAGGAAAGTAACCAAGAAGAAGAAAATCAACATCTCTTTCTCTTTTCCGAAAAAGCCAGGGCTCACAGCCAGTTCCAGCGAGCCCATGCTTAAATTAGCCAATTTGCAGTTTCCTCACAGAAGGAAAAGAGGTAAGTGCTGTATAAATGGGACTGACTTTCTCCTGCTTTTCTGGGGTATCCAACTGGGATAGTCAGGGTTCACTAGGAGCCGTGTCCCCTTGCCATCCCCCCAGGGGCCCCAAGCAAGCAGACACCTCCTGAGAGCATCCAAACAGGTCTCTGCAGTCTCTTGTTCAACCTGGGAAGGAGCCCAGGGCTGTGACGAGGGATTTCAGTGAAGATGCCTGCAACCCGGTGCAGTGGTCCCTGCTGTTGCCTTCCTTTGCTTACGGGTGACTGTGCACGGGGACACCAGCCAGTTCATGCTTATTGCATCCCTTGTCCACAGCCTGTCAATGGCTGAGGCAAGGAGCAGTTGCCAAATCTGTGGTCGTTACAGGTTGCCAAGATAATCAACCGCTGTACGTGGTCGGGTTGTGACTCCCTGAGAGTCAGCTTTCTTGCTGTAGCCTTGGGGCAACGAGAAGCGTGAGATTGATCCTGCCCAACTTTCTGCTGATATCTGGCCTGAGCTACTCGTATGAGGTGTTTCAGCGGCATAAATCATCCTCTGAAGGCTCCTGCTGAGGATAGGCTAAGCCTCTCCTTTTGAGCCAGCCTGAGCCTCCACCTGTCATCCAGAGACACTCTTAAAGTGGGTTGAGATGAATCTCAGCCTTGGTGCCGAAGCGTGGCCGAAAACATCCAGAGGAACCTCCCCTGGCGCTTACAGACATCACAGGTAGTGGCAGCACCAGTGGAAACGGGCTGTCGCGTAGCACAGGGGGTGGTGCGGCGTCTGCGGGCTCTGACCTGGTCAGCTCTGCTTCAGGTTCCATCGAGCTGTGTCCTGCAGCGCGCTGGGTGACATTAGTGATGGACCTGGGAGAGGTTCTTGTGTGCTTCTTGGAGAGGTGAATGAAGTACCCTTGGGGTGCAAGTGTGCCAGGCAGGAATTAGAGTGGCTTATCCCCAGAGAACACCTAGGTCAGGAGAGCAGGCTTTTAATGAGCTGAAGAAGTGATGTTTAATTTTTAATAACTGCTTACTGATCACTTGAGTCAGTAGCAAACCCATTTGTAAGATCAGATGCATAAATCAAGTCGTTGAAGATGACTCCGCCGCTGCCGATCATTTGTAAAGCAGTCCTTCCACATTCCTTAGCTGGGTGTTTTGCAATTATCCCCATTTAATCTGAATATGTCTCAAACACAAATAAACACCCTCCCTTTTCCTTGTCCCAGGTGCGGAGGTCCTGTCTGCAGAATTTGTGCACAAAACACAGTCTGAACCTGACCAGAAGAAAACCTCAGCTCGCGACGATCCTGGCTTGGAAACAAAGAGACCAAAGACACTGAAGAGCCCAGACATCAAAAAGGTTCCTGTTGCTGAGACTGTCACGAAGCCAGGGAAAAGCAAGACGCTAAGAAGTGTGGCTAACAGCCCATCGAAACCTCAAGCCAAAAAGCAAGCAGAAAGTGGTAAGCGCGCTGTTCCCTGTGGAGAACTTTCCTTTAAAAGCCGAGCCAACAAACGTCACGGTGGGGTCGTGACCAGATGATAGTAACAGCACGTTCGGCAGCAGCCAGAGGGCCTCATGACATTTGGTGCTGAGGGTTGGGGTCTGAGTGCTGCTGCCCCACAGCCTGCAGGCTCCCAGTTACGCTGTCGTAGGGCAAAATACGAAGGCGACTGAAAATCGCTGCTGCAGGATGTCCAGACTACACAGGGTGTTTTCCAAGTCCTTTCCTAAGACCTCAGTTTGCGTCCTTGGCTGGGATAGTTTAAAAAGTCTGATTTTTAACCGCTGAGCTCTGAAACTGCGTTGAGGGAGCTGACGCACAGAGCTTTCTGAGCTCTGCTCGTAGCCAGCGTCTGCCTAGGTTTTTAGTCCGTTAGGTTGTAAATCCGGTCGTTTTAAGAGTCAAATTGTCGCAGCCTTGGCAGGCAGACTGCGGCGTGGACAGCCCCTGAGCGTAGCGTCTGCAGGTGCTGGCTGGGAGTCTGCTGTTAAACTGAGAACCAACATTACTCTGCCAAAATAAATGATGGAACAGAAGGGTAATTTTCTGTTAATTTGTCGTGTTTGCTCACACTCGCGCTTTGATGTCCTTCTTCAGATCTGTCTCTGGTCTTTCTTTTTTTCCCCCTTCCTGGGGAGGTGAAGGCTTTGAAGACTGGTTTAGCCACCTCGGCTCAGTTTATCTGTTCTTCTTGGTCTTTTATTGCCACGTGTTCCTGAAACGTGGCACTTTTCATCAGCATGCACGTATCAAATGCCACCCCATGTTGCCTTTCATCACATGGGGGTTCCCAGAGCAGATCTGGCCAGCGCTGTCACACGGGCAGGCTGTCAGTTGGGTCCTGCTGGAATGCCAGGATCCCCCAAAAATGCAAAATAAAAGTGTTCAGCAGTAAGAAATACTCAATTTATATGCCCTACTATGCAGTTCCCAAGGAAATTAAATGTAACACATAGGACTCTAGCACAGATGTGATTTAGTAGGGTTTTACCTGAAGAGAGATTATTGTGCTGGTTTTTAGTAGAAGGCATTAACCTTATTTAATGACTTCGTACTGTTTTTACGAACGTGGGCCTTGAGCCATGGCGAGGGGCATTTTTAACGCCGAAAACTAAATGAACACTTATTTGCTGTGCTCTGGCTGCCTTTGGCTGCCCCCAGGTTTCAGCGTGAGCTCTGGGTTGCAGCTCAGGGTTAGGTGATGCTCTTGAGACGATGTGCTGTGGGAAGGATGAGGGCAGGGTGGGTTTCCTTTGTGTTTTAGAGGGGTTTTTTTTTTTTGTAACTGTGGGTTGTTGAAAGCATAGCATAGGGTTTAGCTGTGAAAATAGATTGCAGATTTATCTTCAAATACTCAAACTAGAAGAAAATTTAAAGCAAAATAAAAAGGATTAAGGAAACGCCTAAAAGACCTCAGGCTGTATTTAAGCGGCCAAACTGCCCTCTGCACAGAAGCCAAGGGAAATTTTTTTTTTCACAGAATAGTAGGGGTTGGAAGGGACCTCTGTGGGTCATCTAGTCCAACCCTCCTGCCGAAGCAGGGTCACCTACAGCAGGCTGCACAGGACCTTGTCCAGGTGGGTCTTGAATATCTCCAGAGAAGGAGACTCCACAACCTCCCTGGGCAGCCTGGGCCAGTGCTCTGTCACCCTCAGAGGGAAGAAGTTCTTCCTCATGTTCAGCTGGAGCTTCCTCTGCCTCAGTTTGTGCCCATTGCCCCTTGTCCTGTCGCTGGGCACCACTGAAAAGAGCTTCGTTCGCTCTGGATCCCATGCCTTTTATTTCTGAGAATAAGCCCCATTCCTGAAGCCGCTTAGATCCCAGCTCTGGACACTTTTGTAGAAGCCACAGAAGTGGTTTTGTAGCATGACCATGGAGGTGGTTTTTTTTAAGTGTACAAATTCCATGTTGGAGAGACACCTTCTTCCTGCCAAACTGAAAGCCTGCTTAGAACCCCTACTTGAGGCAGAGCTGTGTGGCCTTCATTTATTCTCTGACTTTGTTTTTCTCACGCAGAGTGGAAGGAGCCATTCTCTGTCCTCCCGAGCGAAGTTTCTTCCCAGTGCCACGGAGCGGATGGCCAAACGAGCGAGTTTTACCCAGGCGGGGTTGCTGATCTCGGTTTCGATCTGAAGGGGAATGACTACGAGTCCCACGCCTTGAACTTGCTGGCTGATCTGGCTCTGGGGTCTTGTGTTCCTTCGTTTATCCCCAGGGACAGCGGGATCGTCGCTGTGTCCTGCAGCCCCTCCGGCGACTCTGCAAAGGAGCAGCAGAGTCACCGCAAGCACAAATCCTTACGAGTTGCTTCTGACCACGAATACCACAGGGTGGACAAGCTTGAAAAGGGAGCCACCTCTCCTAGCAAAGCATCGCCGAACCAGAAGCTTCCTCCTGCTGCACAAATAGACTTAAATG